GTGTTTGGCGTCCGATGGGAAGGAAAGCTGTGAACCAATGCTTTTGTCTGAAGTTTTTTCGGAGGAAATACTTCTCATCTAAATGTGTATTAAAATAGAAATTTATCTCTGAATTGATTTTTGTGTCATTTATTTGTGAATTCAATGAAGTCTTAGTTATCACTCATATTAGAGACAATGATTTCATTGACATTTCAAATGATTTGTTTTCAATACATAAGTGCAATCAAATAAAGATTAACTTAAATATAAATCCAAAAATATCAATTTCTAATAGCTTAGTAGCAATATTAAGTGAAATGAGACAACAAATGGACATTATATATGATAGTATGACTGAGAAATTGAATACTGAATGAACGGGTATTTAAATGTAATAAATATATGAATAAATCATTAATTAATTGCCAAAACAAGTCATAAACAAAAGTGCCTTTTATTTCAAATTCTTTAATGAAATGATTGTTTTACTCGTAATATTAAATTATATTAAATCCTTTAATATCCTGGGCATATTAGTGAATGAAATACATAATTCAATGCAATAATAGATTTGTGTTTCAAATGAATTCTAAATTTTCATTTCAAAGTTTGTCACAAATAGTGAATAAATTGAGAGAAAAATAGCGAAACATTTCATAAATTATCAAATCTAACAATTGTTAATAATGTATCATAGTATAGGTTTTTACTGTAATTATTTGTGATAAATTAATAATGATCATTTGTAGTGCCAACACATAACATGCTCCATATATAAATTAATACGAAAATTAAATGAGTTGTAAATTATCAATGTCTCCGCAAATCTCCCATTTCATCAATCGTTCAAATTTGCAAAATAAAACTCAAATCACTGTAAACTTAAACAAAGTTGCTTTAGACTAACAAATGGATTAGAAATAAATAATGAAATACTCGACCGCTTCATATCTGCCAGTTTTGACACTTTATATCAATTTAATGTTGAGCCCTAACACATGAGGGGCACCGGTATCCACTCTCCCCTCCATCAGCCCCTACACCATAAAGCTTAGCGTTTGCATCAGAATGGGAAAAATCGATCAAAAAATTTACCTCTAATTATAAATCGCATTGAATAGCAGTCTATAATAACTTATAATACAATTTCTGGTTGTGTTTATAGACAATGATTAGTCTATCAAACAGTTAAGGCTAACGATTCAAACCGATAGGACACACAAACGCATCGCTACTTCGCATTGACTGCCGAAGCCTTGAAAGTCAAAAGAGATTTGTTTTGAATGCGAATTACAATTACAATCGAAATGTAAAGAAAATATTTTCGTTAACTTTAGTTTCAGTATAAGTGTTGCCAAACATGATATATTATATGAATCTATAAAATGAAATGTGTTTTCATTAAAATTACCACTTTTATTGAAGTTTTTCTGTTCACAAAACTACTTCACATAAAGAAAGAGTTTAGCAAATGATTTGATGCAAAACAGTGTCTCTCATTGTTTGCGAGAATATTATATTTAATTGTAATTCAAGGTTTGAAATAAGTTAATATAAATTGCCGTTTAGCGCACACATGTACACTATTATTACACATTATCTACCCATCTATAGAGTAAATACAGTTTAATTCTTGTATTTTTATAATATTTGATTTTTATTTGTTTGATTCACTAGCCTGATATTAATAAAATTTATACAAAATTTCTTATACAGTAAAACAAAGTTCGTCAATTTGATGTGTTTACATTTGGAGCAAATTTTAAGCAAAATTAAAATGATTAAATTTTATTTTAAATACTTTTTGTTCGTATATATAATAATTTAGTTAGGGGATTTTGTTAGTTGTAATAATGTAAAATGCATATTTCAGTTATAACTTATAACTTTCATTGAAACACACATAACTTATTATTGTTATCATTTGCAAAACCAATAATTTTTTATTACCAATTTCAAGTGAATCCATACGTTATGTTAACCTATAATATCTAATAACTTCCTAACTATCTTAAAAATATTATGACTTATATTGTATATAAATGATTAATTCTGAACAAATGTTAACTATTATAAGCTTGAAATGAATTTAAAATTTAATAATTTATTTGTGAAGTCATCAGATATAATGAACTGAATTTGTATTACGGATACTAGAAATCGATGGAAACGTAAAATTAATGATATAATGTTTAATATAATGCTAATTGAATCATAACGTGTTTAAACCATTGATCAATTATTTGAACACGACTTTATAATAGATTGATGGCAAATACAATTAATGTAAAGGCTTTTTATCAATTATTTAAACATTAGTATAAAATTACAAAATATGCTTTAATCTCATTTTCATTTCTTTAGAAACAAACGGTTGTATTATTTGTTTCATGTAATATTAATATGATTTTCAAACAAAAAGTTATCTATTGAAACTAATTGTTATATTAAAAGATGTTTCTATAATCTGTTTAAATTTTATGATAATTAACACGAAAACAATTTAATGTGATAAATATATCATAAATAAATCTGATAATCAAACATATACAATAAATACAGTATTTATAAACTATTGAAATTATTTAACTACAGTATATGTTAAAAAGAAAACGTGTCATACTATATTTAGTAATATAGTATACACTTTATTAATTATACCAAGTTATACAATAAATATTTTAGTCAACTTTAAAAATAATGATCTATAGTGCATACCTTACCCTTAAAATCAAAGTCAATCAACTCATTAGACATTAAAATCTGTTTTTAAAAGTTTCTCGGAGTTTATAACCAAAAAGGTGTCGAACATTAAAATAACTAATAAATTATGAAAATATAATTTCGATGTTAACTTATAACAATTGTCGGCTCACATAATAGCAACTCGTTTCTTGACTTATTTAATCCATACTATTATTTAGGAGCTTATCGTAACTCAGAAATAGTTTTTTGGCCATAAATTATTAGATAAACAATCGCTTAGGAAATAGTTAAATTTTCGGATTATATTGAAATATGATTTAATTCTTATGAATTTATATATCATTATAAATAATTTAAGGATATTATTTTTTAGATAATTTTTTGCCGTAATAAGTTTCATGCTTTCAAATGATAAGTTAATACCAATTTTCAGTAAAATTTAATTAATTTTTGGGTATATAATTTAATATAGCTCTATAAATTGACTGGTTTACTGATTTTATTTATTAATTTTATTAATTCCTATGATTTGTTAGTCTCAATAAAATTGTTGCATAACAAACTGTATTGGCTATAAACATTTATTAATTTATTAGTCCATTAAAATTTAAAAATATTATTATAATTGCTTCTTAATTGAAATGACAACTAACTCCTGATTTCATATCAAAATTCAAAAGATATTCAAAACAATGCACACATTCAATACCATTCATAGCAAACCTTACCTCAAAACCTGTCGACCAGTTTCCCACATATCATAAGGAGTTTGAAATATTTCCAATAAAATTGAATTGTTTTGAAATATTTAGTAATTAATGTTTGCGTAAATTGAATGCATTATAATAGAAGTGAAGCGAATCGCTAAATAATTGCTATTATTATCAAACATTTCACACCTAAACATTCATACGTGTATTGAATGTAAAAAGTGTGCTTTTAATTGATAAAAAGGCGATCAAATCAATTAATGATTAAATAACAATCATATGAAAATAATGTAATTTTTATTATTAAAAAATTATGTGTCAATCATTGTTTTGTGAAATCAAAAAATATATATATATAAGTATGAAATCTATATATCTGTACAATTACATAACATTGATATTTTATGATAAGTTATAGCAAAAAATATAATTTGTTTATACGTTTTACAAAAGTTATATTCATTTGAATTGATATTATGTTTTGTTACCAAGAACACATGGTTTTAATTACAATATTTCAATTAATTTATTGTAAACATTTGAAAAATTTGTGCAAAAATATATTCAATTGTCTTATTTCAAAAAAATGGGATTCTTAAAAATTTAATTAAATTATAAATTGTATTCACTAATGAGTAATGCATCACTTTTAATACACATATTTCTAGAATATAGAAAATATATATAAAAATACTTTTTTTTAAACAAATAGTAGAGAATAGCAAAGAATGTTTAGAACTTTATATTTTGATATAAATTGGCCCAAAAAATCGTTTAATTAGCTTTTGTTTTATGGCATTCCTTCTGATTTGTAAAATTCATACAAAACTTCTATATTATTCAAATAGTTTCTCAAAATAATTTGTGTGTGTGTTTCATATTACGATTATCTATAGCTCACAAACAACCTCTCATATCATATAATTATTAATATGGAAATGCAATTCGTATGGAATTCAGGTTTAATTTATCACAATTGAACTGGATCGAATATCTTTAAATAATTTATAATTAAAAGTGTAATTTCCATATCAATCATACAGGACTAGGAGTTTTGTTATGTATATTAGGTTCAACAGAAATCAATTAGTAAAAATGCCTAAACTTTGATTATAAAAATAGATTTATCTATAAAAATTCAATATACTGTATAAATTCATTAATTGGTTTAAATTCATGTCCCAGAACATTATTAATATCTGATTAACATTAAATTGGCTCTTTGTTACTCAAATAATTAATTCATATATTAATACACATCTGTTTTTTACGAAACTATAAAACAATATCTTATGTTAAAGAAGTTTATGCAGAATACTAGTGACACTAAAATACAGTGAATCCAGTGTAAGATAGGGCTCACACTTATGGATAGTTTGCAAATGGGCTGTCTGTCCAAAACTTTATATAACTTTGATAATTGAATTGAATGGTAGAGTTTGATGGCCTAAAAGCAACAGAGATATGACGACCACATGATGTATACGATTATTAATTTGCAATAATACTGTCGATTGGTTTTCTGGACACCTTTACAACAACAGGGCTTAAATGCATATTTATAATAAAAATAGGTAGTAAATGTGTTTTGTGTTTTATATTAAAAGTCTATTTCCTACGGTTTTTTCTATATAAATGATATTCTATACAAAATAGAGGCACACTTTTAATCACAGCCGAAGTCAATATAAATTCAATTCAATTAAGGCTTTTTCGGAGGGGAAATGCACTTCTGTTTAACGGCTAACGGTAGTCAACACCACAAACATAACCAAATGAATGAATATATTCTATAATACAATACATCTCTTGTAAAAATGGAAATATATGTCGAGTTGAGCGCCGGGTACTATGCGTTCATAGTATCACACGAAGTGTCTTCTCCTGTCATTTATCTTCACTGGACTCCATGTGCTCCTCGTCGTCATTATCGCTGTCCGAGTGGTCCTCATTTGGCTTATCTATCGGTGGGTCGGGCGTCCGTTTGCTGGTCAGGTCGAGCGGCGATGTATTCACGTGAGTGTTGTCCTCATTACTGGACGGCGAAAACCCGGAGTCGTGATCGCCGATCGAGTGTTTCGACGACTTGGACAGCGCTTTGAGTGAGTGCTCGCTCAACGCGGGCCCGCCTTTCACGGAGAGATCGATGGGCCGGTCCTGTTCGGGCACATCCGCATAGCACTCGCCTATGTTTTGGTTGATGTCGGGCTCTTTGCCGCTGGCTTTGAGCACCGGCTGCAGCGCGTGGATCGGCAACAAACTCGACTGATATGCGGCGAAATTCAGGTCTCCGTTGCCGTACAGCTTAGACATGCCGTGAATGGCGTGCAGACCGTTCACGGCTTTGCCGAAGAGGGCGCCGGCGTTCGAGTTGTGGAATAGGAAGCGGGCGGCGGTGGCGGCCGACAGGGGCGACAGCGGGCTCACCGGCGACAGCGGCAGACCCGACGCGTGGAAACGCAAGTGATTACTGACTTCTTTGCGGGAGTCTATGTATGAGGGACTGGTGGAGCCGTACCGGGCGGCGAAGCCGTTCCCTTTGGGCGTCGGGTCGAATAGGGAGGGGTAGGGCGATGAGAGGGCGCCGCCTACCGAGCCGTCGCTCGAGCCGGGAGAGGCGGTCGCGCGGGGGGACACGCGATGGGCGGACGACGCGCTCGACGTCTCCCGGAACGCGTCGCTCTTGTACTGCGATAAGAGATCCTTGTTTTCGTTGAACGCGTGGCCCAACGGGCCCAACGGACCCAACTGTCCCCCATTGGCGAGGACTCCCTGCTCTTGCAGCCGGTTCGTCATCTCCTGCTGGTCTTGGATCAGGCAATGGATTTTAAACCAATTGGATCGCCGGCCATAGCGAGAGCCTGTGTGTGAGAGAGAAGGGATCGCAACGGATAAGAAAATTGCTTTTAATTTGTGTCAAGAAAGCGATTCACTTAACGAGAAATGTTTTGCGCAAAAATCAGAAATCAATTACAAGTCTATGATTAGAGAGTAAACCGTAATAATTAAGAATCAAAAGAATGGGAAGCAATACAAAAGCACTGGTAGTATAGAGTGAGCGCTAATCAGATCAGATGAAGAGGCGGACACTTAGCCATCAAAATCGGTGCCTATTCTCCAAAAACATATTGAATATAATGGCCTTTAAGGTGATGTTGGGCTCAATTAACCCCTACTCTATCGGCGTGACTAACGAGAGAGACGTAATCCAAGATTCACTTCAATTGCCTTTTCCTAAGAGTTGGTGTTAGTGTTAGCCTCTCATCAAAAAACACATTTCTTATAGACATAAGTCGATGAACTCTTATTAACTCTTATTAGTCAATATATAAGGCAATATTAAACCTTTCATATAATTTCGTTTGCAAAGCATTTTAGCAATTATTTGGTCTCAAAATAACTGTCTGTTCGCCCAACAAAACTCATGTAACTTCTGAATAATATGTGTTTTGTGTTATAGTTTTCATATTCACTGTACACTACACACGAAATATTGAACTAAATTGTGATTTGATTGCAATTTTTGATTATCCCTTCAGCTTATTGTTCGCCTAAAAAGATGAACTGAATTCATGGAAAAAATCTATTTGTCCGCCAAAAAAGTGGCACTTCTTTTACTTTTACAAATGATTCGCTTCAATAAACTTCAATGAAATATAAATAAGTTTCTCAAACGCGGCACCAATTCGTTTGATTTGGCTTTTTAAATATAACTCCACTTTTCTCGTGTATAATCGTATAACTTATTGTAAAAGTTATGCACAATTTCTCGCGTAATCAGAAAATCATATGAAAAAGCATAGGAAGAAGGCATATATGCGCTTATAAGGCATGGGTGCAGATGTAAGATGAGCACAGGTAGGCAGGGGTAAGACCATTACGTACCGCTTTTGGACATCCCGACCACCAGACACTTCTTGAGGCGACAACTCTTACATGAGGTCCTGTTTTTCTTGTTGATGACACACTGGCCATTGTTTTTACACTCGCCCAGCGCCGACAGATTATTGTACGTCCGGCCGAAAAATGACTGCAAATATATACATACATTGATTAGGAGTTTGTTTTTTTTGTGTTTGAAAGGGTTTTGAATTAAATTATATAATTCTTTGTGCGATTTGTGTGAATACGAAATCCGAGTGAAAAGAGAAACGCTTGCATTAAATGAGAAAATAATTGATTGAATAAAAATGTATAAGAAATTTATGAAAAAGATTAATAATATTCAAATGTAACTGGTTTTGGTGTGCGGGGAATTGAGTTCAGGTATAGTGGAGTACAATTCAATTACAATTCAATGATGACATCATTAACATAATGGTTAAGAAAATGGTTAAGAAATTTGTATTCTTCATAAAAGTGAGTCCACATGAGTCACAGACACGACATCAGAATTAACACAAAAATCTATATTACCCCGTGTATATATTAGTGAATTATTGTAAGTATTGTAAGTTACCATTATATAGGATTGTATACTAGGGTAGTTTGTAATACTCGTTTTCTAATGTGTGTTTTTCGCTAGTAATTCAATGCATTCATATTAATAATGTTTGCATTACTCGCATGAGTCTCTAAATTATATTATTATATGATTTACCATTCATTACAATCATTACAGCTATTCATTTGCGAAAATTAACATTTCGTACACAAAAAGCGCCTTTTCATATGAAGTTCACCAAAATTGTTTAATTGAATGATAGCACACACACTATAATAATAATGGGATAAAAGTTTTTTATTTGAATATTTAGTGAAAGTGTTTGAAAATATTTAACTTCAAAAAAGAGGCTCTAAAAGAGGAGAGAAATAATTTGTTTTTATATTGTGTTTCAGTAATACAAATAAGGCATAACTATTAGTCAATTATACAATTTGGGCAAAACGTGCGCTCAAAATGTTTTATTATTTTACACTAAATAATGCATTAAATTGTTTTATTTTATTGAAATTCAGTTTTATTTTAGTTACACCTTTTTCTCGCTGTAATATTGCCTGTATATTATCATTATTATTATTCACTCCATTCTCTCATTTAGTTTATTGTTAAGAGTTTTAATAAATAATTTTTTTTGTATTGTTTGCCTCAAAAAATTACTTCAATTGTAATCCGAGTTATAATAGCGAAAAACAATTTTCAAATTCACAGCCTTTGTCACAGAGTATCATATTTATATAAACAGCAAAACAAACTTGTATTTCGCACAAAAAAGTTTCAAAATTTGTTTTGTAATTGATTTTAGTCTAAATTAAACCAAAACAGTATAAATGAAAACACATTCCTCACACCAAATCTCTTACAACACCTGTAAGATACATGTTTTAAACCAAATAAATATATTTTGTTGTTTTGATTAATGAAAAAACAAACATAAAACTAAAAGTGGAATAAAATCTCATTAAAAATTCATTAGATCTCATGGAATGTGCGAATCTCTCGTCCCATTCATAAAGTTTTT